TGAATATTTTACCACCAAGTCACTGGCTTTTGGTCATCATTACAAGCCCTAAAGAGCTGTATCTGTTCCACCACCAATAGGCATCTTTGGTTCTGTTCAAAGGACTCTCCATTTGTGTTCATGTGAATATAAACTTATGTGACATATGTGCATATGCAACACATATGCACATGCTTAGACTAAATATAGCAGGAAACAAACATGCACGTTGAGGGAGAAACACTTTATCATCCTGAAGTGATGTATTTTATTTGTCACACATAAATAATTAAGGCATCTACAGGGGGAAAAAAACTATATACTGTGATACAGTGAACTTGTGCACTCAGTCATTCCCTTCATCCAAACAACTGCCTTTGGCATGAATAACAGCTTGGCTGATATGAAGCACTGTATTGATCTGTTGCTCAAGAAAGTCCACTGATATTTCCTTGGACTTTTCCTGGAGGTATGGCCATAAAAGCTCAGCAATGTTGGGATCCGTTGCTTCTATCTCCATTTCTTCCCAGATGAGTTCAATAGGGGACAGATCCAGAGAGAGCGGTCAACTCTCAATCTGTGCTGCTCTCTGTCTCTCTCTCACACACACACACACACACACACCGTTACCTTTTTCCGTTTGAAAAACTGCTTAGGAATCAAAGTCAATGTCATATTGCATGACCAAAAAAGTATCCACAGGTGGAGGGGCATCTCTGGAAAACTTTGTGATAGTCTACTTTGCCCAGAGCACCTATAATTTTGTCTAAACCTCTGACTGTAAAGCCATTGTGCTGATATGGCCTCTACTGCAATGTAAACCGGAAATGTGAACTCCCATGTCATCAACAGGAGGTTCCCCTTCACCACCCATCTCTCCCTGTTTTCAGCTCTGTGGAGGTTTAATTCTGAGATCCTATGTGGGATAGCATGAGTTCTAGCCAGATTTTTGTAAACTTTGCTTTCTCATTCCAAGAGATTCAGGTACTTACGACCCTCCATGATTAGCTGGATACCCACTCTACAATACAGGGATGCTAGGAAGGGGAAGGTTTATATATTTAAAATAAAAAGGGTCTTCATAACAATTTCAAAAAGCCGAGCTAAAAATTGTACGGGGGAGAAGGGGGGTTTCACTGCTTTCTTGTACGCAAGATGTTCACATGATAAGCCCTGCTTCTGCATGTCAATGGTGTTCTGAGTGCCATTGTAGCTACCTTTGCTTTGGCCCAAGTACAAGCCCTTGCTATTTTGTTGGTTTCCGCCATTCAGCCCCTTCACCTGTTCAATCACCCTATTGTCTAGTAAAAGTTACTATGACTGCTGAATGTATTAATTAAACTCTATGACTGTCACCACAGCGAGCAACGTAATAGCAGCACAAATGCACTCCGGCTGTATTTGTTGCCTGTATTTATTTATTTCTATGGATTCTTTGCACTGAGAGAGCCTGTAGAAGCCCCATTGGAGGGATTGAACTCTGCTGTGCTAGATACTGTCCACGCACACACACATCAGTATGACACTCTATTGCCTCGCACCTCTAAGTGATTGTAAAATGTCACCATTCTGATCTGGTAGCATAGGACACTCACAAGTATACCTGGTTATGTGAGGTGTTGGCAGTGGAGAATCAGCCATATATTACTGAGATAATTATAGTCTCACCTAGCAGCCAGGTAAAGGGTGTATGCAACAAGTTCAGAGTGCTCCAAGAGAGAACAAAGGGTCCTTTTGAATGTGGGTGTCTCCCACTCAAGTGCACCTTCAATACCCAACTGGGGCACAGCATGTGATCAGGTGATGTAAATGCCGAGAAGGGTGTGCCCATGAAAACTTTGTACCTCTCTCTGCACCTGTGCATCTCTTCAGAGTTGAACTCATTTGTTTTACTTAGCAATGTTTATATTAGCAGTTTTTACTCTGGTGAATGCTATAAAATGGGAAGGTTAAAACAAGAAATGGTGCCATAAGCAAGGGACCATTCACTGCAGTGGAAAAGCAGAACTCTCTATGGGGGAAGGGTAAATCCCATAAAAACCAGTTAGGTCCTTTTTTTCAGAAATATCCTAAAAAAACCTACCTTTGGGAAGTCAGATGGTTGGACCCGGTCATCCACATTTTCAGGAGTGCCTTCTGATTTTGGGTTCAGAGTACCTACCTTGAGATTCCATGGACCTGATTTCTAAAGATGAACACTTGTCTTGTACCCATTACCTTAGGTTGCACTGCGGCTTCTCAGCACCTCTGAAAATCAGGGTCTAGGTATCTCAGGTTGGGCAGCCAAAATTAATGGACACTTTTGAAAATTTGGATTATGATCTACCTGACCTGTATACGGGATGGACTGTGTCTACTGCTAGTGCTGAGGGAGGTTCTGATGTTCTAGTTCTGACTCTGCTACTGACATATCGTGTGACCATGGGCAAGTCACAAAGTCTACTCTTTGCCTCAGTTTATCCATCTGTTGTTATAGTACTTACCTACCTCACAGGGGTATTCTGAAGCTTAATGTGTTTGTAAAGTGCTTTGGGATCCTTGGATGAAACGTGCTGTGTAAGTGCAAAATGTATATATACTACCTTATTACACATAGGATGGTCATGCTTGAAATAAATATCAAACAAGAATTGGTAAAAGCCTAATGGATTCCATTCTACTGATTTTTAACAGCTTTTTTTGTATTGAAAAGATCTGGAGACTCAAAGATAGATGTTCTTTCTGAGCTTGTATGTTGTTTCCTCTATCTTGAAGCGTTTTGATACATGGATTGAAACTTGTCTGCTCTGCCTGTAGTTTCTTAGAACCTCTCTGGAAACTCAAGAATTAATTGTCACAGATATCTCTACACCAGGCAGAAGGTTGTTTTTGCTCTGTTCTAGCAAAGGAAGCACACTAGTGTTTCTCACACACATGGCATCAGAACTCTACTCCTGCCCTGAAAATACCAGGTCCCACACTTAGGGTAGAATTCTTTCTCTATGCAGAGAACCTCAGCACAAACCCCTTGTACCACTTAAATCCCAGTGAAGACGTCAAAATAGGGCCTAAGTGGCACTATAAGTAGGTATTATGTTAATCCTCTGGATTGGATAATATTCCCATTAAAGAAGAGACATAAAATAGAGAATGTGACAAATTAGCACAGGAATGGTTCAGTTGTTTGTTCCTCTTTTGATACAGCCAAACCTTGACGTACTTTCTCCCATTAAGATCAGGCGGAGTTTTGACTGGGCAAAACAGAGTAAGGACTTTCATGATCTGGTCTGTAGATAAATTCTAAATTTTGGACTATCGCTTAAATTGTCCTTCCTCTTGCCGCTGCAATAGAGGAAACCAGATCCGCTGAAAGTTATTTTCTTAGATTCCAAGACCAGAAGGGACTATTGTGATCATGTAGTCTGACCTCCTGTATAACGCAGGCCAGAGAACTCCCCCAAAATACACTATGAATGATGGCGTCAACAATTTGGATCTTAAATTGGCTGTTGCGAGTGTGAGCATGTGTGCTTTTCTGAAATCTTCTGTACTTATTTTAGCTGTCCTTGCTACATCTGCTAAGAATATGAAATTCAGCTATTGGTTAAGGTAAAAAATAGCTAAGTGCACAAATTCATTTGTATTAACAGTATTGTTTACCTTGTACTGTTTGTCTTGTACTTGCCTTCAATCCACAGCTCTGTTTATCTCCAGCTTGATAAATATGAGGTGCCATGCTCCTGCCACCAAACATCAACTCCAGGCACCCTAAAGCTGTGCTAGGTATATAGGAAAACACAATGAAATATTGAAGGAGTTCCTGTTTACTTGTGTTGGAGGTGAATTATGAAAGAGTAGAGTGAGGGTCACATTTTAGCTACAAGGCCATGAAGATGACTCCATTACCCTCAGTTTACGCAGCCTTTTATTTCACTTTTTAATAATATTTTGCATATTAAAATTTGTATAGGCAGCCAGAAGAGAGCAGTATATACACAATACATGCCCCAATAGAGAGGGTTAGGAATCATTGGTTCAGTTATTTGGGACTGGGAACAGAAGATAAGGTGTCCTTTCCCCTTTTTTACACTTTGTTTTAAAGGTCTCTCGAGTAATTCCGCTGCATTTACCACCACAAAAGAGAGTGCATGAGCAATACAGCTGGGTGTGATCTGTTCTGATATAAAATTCAGAAGCATTTGCTGAGGCAGATTGGGGATTTTTTTGAATGGGACTTCTGGGTTCACATTAGCCAATCCAACCTTTTGTTTCCCTGGTCCAAGTTTAAAAAAAAAAAAAGTCCACTGTTTCCCCAGACAGGTTTGGATTCTCTTTTAAAGTTTTATCACACTGCTCCTCCAGATGGTATGGGTGTGGGTGTGTGTGTATATATATATACACATCTAAAATATGGACAGATTTTTCAAAAGCCACTGGTGATCTTAGATTCATCAATTCTTGAGCTGCCTGACTACAAACACATTCAATATTTTCAGAAAGTGCCTTTTGAAAATCATGCACCTTTAAGGTGTGTCAGTTAATTTACCCGGAATTTAAGGTACCCAAATTTGTTTGTCATGTGTGAAACCCTTGGAAATACACACATGCGCACAGGCCAAATTTACATGCCTTTGTGTAATTCCATTCAAGTCAGTGATGGTGAACAAGAGATATGATTTTGGTCGATAGTGTATGTGTATTCTATACAGTATGTGTGAGTAGTCCACACACACCCAGGATGGCCAAGCACTTTGATTTACACTTCAGAGTAAGTAATTTGAACCAATACTTCATATGTCACATTCTGTATGTAAGCTGTATAATGCCTATAACTTTAATGTCTATTTTGTTAATGTTACCACCTTCAAAATTATTTGACACAAATGTCAAGGTTGCTGTAAAATGGTATAACTGTAATTATTTCAGTATACAATGGAAGTTAGAGGAAGCCTATGGTTTGGATTTGAAGTGCTCTACTTCTAAAAGAATATACTTTTAAAAAAAAAGTTTTCTTTTTAAGGTTCTTTTCCTTGCCCCAGCTAAACTTTCCTCAATTTATTTGTTAGCTATTATAGCTGTTCTGTAGTTAGATTTTAATCAGCCCTAGTACACATTAATGTGAAACACTGAAAGAGCTACTAATTAATCGCCTTTCTGTTTGTAACAGAGAGATAAATATCCATCCCGGAGGAATTGTAATTTCATGGTTTCTAATGATGGTTAGATTACATTATCTGGATCACTTAGGCTGCGGGTGTCATAAGAAATGCTCAAAGTTTAAAAATGCAGTTTAAAATTTTTTACTTTGTAAACCTGAGAAAGTAATGCAGTGTTAGCATGTCAGGTTCATATTTTAGTTAAATACCCCTTTGTTCCTCAGACTGGATGGATTCAGATGACAGTGACAAGTTCAGTTCTTTTCCATTTCACATGCTCCCTCCACTATCAAAACAACATTTTGCAAATCATCATCAGGCTTTTGCCGATTGAATGTCAAAGGAATCTGTTTAGTTTCAGGGCAATGCTGCACTTCGGTGAGCTAATTTATTTTTGGATGTCCATTTCCATTGCATATTGTCCGCTAATTCATTTACATACTGTGTGTACAGGTAATGCATTTGCATCATCTATCTTGAACTAAACATTAATTGGACTTGTAGAGTATATTGCTTGGCGAATCAAATAAAATATTGCATTCCAAAAGCTTACTATAAAGTGTTGTTATTACTACATGTCTCGTTTACCCTCTCGGATTCAGTTGGAGCCAATAGAAATCTCCAGAATTGCACATACTCCTCATCTGTGACTGTGACACTTTTAAATTTAGAAGTTCCATGGACATTTAAACAAAGACCCCACTTTATCATTTGTGGATGTTGGAATAGCTAATAGTTGCATATTCTAAACTTATGCTTATTCATATTTAAAAGGCTGAGATTGCTTTGAACCATTGTGTCGGGGGGGAAATTAATTGTTTCGGAATGAGAATGATCCTCCTTTTCCACATGAATTATGTGTACAGCAAGGTTATCAATAATGTTCATTTCCAACCTTTATCGTTGATGGCTTCTCAGTAGGCAAAAAAGTTGTCAAGGTTCCAGGACTCCAACCCTTTTCTGCTTCAGTTGTAAACCAGAGGAAGGAGGGACCCCAGAGAACCAGGGTGAGATAAGGAAATGTAATATATATTTTCAAGAGTGCATTTGTCATCAATTAGCTAAAATTGCTTCTGAACGTGTCTAATTTAGTGACCAAGATACGGTACTATCTTCATAGGGAACTCCAGAACTTTAGAAGGTTTTCCTCTTGTTTGAATGCACAGCACAATGAATTTGTACCCACTGAGCGTTCACCACTTACATTTCAAAACCTACAGCACACTAAACGTGAAACTTTTGTTCAAATTTCAAGGATTTTGATAGCCCAAGTGAATAGACACAACCTATTGATTTTTCCCTTACAATGACTCTTGGATAACCTATTTTCTCATTTATTTTTAACGACAGCTCATGAGATTTTACAGCAATTCTGCCCAACCTCCTAATATCAAAATCCCTCCTTGACCCTGAAAATTGTAATTCTGCTATAGATCACAGCTGCTGAATATTACCTTTTACTAAGCTGGTTAAATAAAATATGTCCAAATCGCTAGATCCCACAGGCCACGGCTGCAATTCTAATTATACTGGGTCTGTATTTTCTGCTGTACCGTATAGCAAAGCACAGCTCTCTCTGAGTCCACACCAAAGTGTGGGAATCCAGAATATTGGTTCTAGTTTTGAATAATAATAAAAAAAAGTTATACTGCTCTTCAGTGATTTTTCCCTTTAAAAACTTTTACAAGGGACCCAAACTCTTTTGATGTGTTCCATACAATAAAATGCCAGGTATACCTGGAGGATGGAGCCATGTGACTAGAATTTTCTTGTGACTCGAGAAATAGGTCCATTTGATGTGAACCAGTTTCAAAAATCAAAAAGGCTCGTGTATCTCTTACTTGGGTTGCTCATGCTTCACAATGGTTTGGAAGAACCAAGGTGAAGAAACTAAATTTGGCCACTGGCACATCCTTTCCCCCACCACCACCACCCCCCTGCTGCTTTTACAAAGAGCAATCACATGCTCCCCACTGGAATTTATGCTATTATAGAATTTACATAGGGAAGAAATTTATCAGATTATGTGTTCCCTGGAGAACCTTATCTATTAGTGAATCATTTATAGCCTGGCCTTCTGGGCACAGTGCAAAGACCATCTTGGTTTCTTCCCCACCATCACCATCTCTGGTGTTTGGAGAGCAGGTTGACTGAGGGTGTAGTTTGGGAAGGAAAGATATGGGAATTTAGTGAAGGACATGGGACTCTTTGGTTTCATGGGCAGATGTGATGGTAGCTTGGATATTCAAGTATGTATTTATGTATATGGATGGTTATCTCATGTATATGGATGATTATCTCATGCTCCTTCAGCTACATTACAATAAATAAAGAGCCTTCTTCATCAGAAGTGATGTTTCTGCTGGAAATACCTTTTGGAGCCTTATGATAAATGACATTCATGATCTGCAACAATTCTTCAATGAGCCCATGGAAGGTAGTCTCCATTTTGGCTTTCTGCCTTCACTCCTGTGTACAGATGGAGAGATGGTTTTAAATTCTCGTCCTGCTAGTATGGCAGCAAAAGGAGTGTGGCGTTTTGCTCTTTCCCTAGAAGGGAAGCATGAGAGTGGAACTGGCAAAACCAGCTCCTTTAGGGCCTGGGCCTCAAAGGTTCTGAGTACCTGGGACTCCCTTTGACTTCAGTGGCAGTTAAGGGCACTCAGCACCTCCCAAGATTACAGCCACAATATGGATAACCTTCCACTCATACCCAGACTTCCCTTCTTCTGAAAACTTCCCTCCCTCCCTATCGCCTTATGATCATCGTCTTAGATATTTCTAGTCCACCATTCACTGAAACACCTAGGCATAATTACAGGCTGTCCATAATGGATCCTCCCCATTCTTATATGCAACCACTTTAACTTCAGGAGGGTGGTTAGGTGGGTTAGTTTCTTTCAATGATTCTTCAGCTTCTGGTATTTTAGGAAACGTTCTTCATTGTGATGTGAAAACTGCCAAGCTCTCGCTCATTCTGATCTCTGCTAGTAAGGAGTTCCTCAGTCAAAGACCATCCACTGAGAACATCCTGCAGCATTCCTGGGGAGTTGCAGTTGTCTCTGTGGGTCACAAAAGGAGAGCTGTTCTCTGAACTACCTACGCCTTCCCCACTGAGGGCGTTAAAGATTAAAACCGGGATCTAAAGAAATCTGTCTACAAGGAGGCCTCTGCCAGTGCGTGACGTGGACAATGCCAGTCCCACAGAGTCTAGGTTTAGAACAAGTTTCATGGTATTGCCCTCAAATTTTAGCACTTCTTGTTTTTACTCCTCCTTTTTTCAGTTAATACTTTCCTACTTTATCCATAGGCATCCTGGGTGTCCATTCCTTTGTGTAGCCCTTCTGTGTATTATGACACTCAGGAAAAAGTAGAGGGATTGTTTCCAGGCTTCATTTTTACAGCTCACCCCAACCCCCACAAATATAAATAAAACAATGGCTGGTGCGTGATAGGACATGGAGCTAAAATCTGTGGGGTGAATTTTCAGCACAACGCACAGGAAATTAGATGCACAGTTACTGCTGTTAACAGAGCTTGGATATGTAACTCCCTGCACAGCAGGCTGAAAATCCTCTCCATGCATGTTTAATGGAGTTTGGGTTACTACATTCCTGGGGTTGGGTCCCTTTCCTAATGTCTACTGTCCTGTATGAAACACAGGAACTGCTGAATGTATTTTGCTATTAAAAGACTATTCACTTGATCTGGATTCTTTCTCTAATGCCACACAACTTCTCTCCTAACTCAGCAGTTCCTTAACCTTTGCATTTCTCCACAGGTTTTGTTTTGTTCTTTTAAATATATTTCATGTACTCTGTGAATTGTCAATTTATGTAATTGTTATATCGAGACCACAAATACTGCAGTGATGGATGCTTTAGAAGTGTGTGTTTCTAATAATACAGAAAATATATTTCCTAAATATTAATACATAAATGTTGCTAACACAGAATAAATAAACAAACAACATCCAGAGGAAAATGAATAGTATATGCCATTTCACGAATCTTGTGTCTATTTTAAACATCTCGCTCCTCTGGAGGTGGTTAGTGTGTTTTTAAACTCCAGTCCTAAATGAACTAGATGGGGCTGTGAATCTGGGATTGTCTTATGCTTCCATGCTACTTAATCAGCCTTATGTACAGTAATTGTTTTCCTTTCCCCTGACTAAAGAGCCTTATTGCACGCTACAAGGATCAGTTCAAATGGACTTTAATTACCTTCAATAAAAAATAAATTACTCATCTAAACTAACAGTTTTGCAACAAAAAGGAGCTCAAATTTCAGCTGTGCAGTGTCATTGGTTTTTTTTTTTTTCTTCCTATCCAAGGTAACACTTGAATCTCCAGCTCTCAGCAAGGTCTGTACGACTAAAACAAGGTGCTGTAAACTGAGACTCGAAAAACCAAAGTAAAAACACACACATCAAATGTAAAAAAAAACAAAACAAAACATCAAATACGTATACAAGTTTCTAAAAGGTTTCAATCATTTTAAAATTGCACATGATTACTCTCCAGCTTCCCCAAATGCTTTCATCTGAAGGGGTGGGGGGAAAGTGTAGCTTTTTCCAATTTTAAAAGCATTGTTAGGGCATGCCTACTAGATTTGGCTAACTCTGTATGTTTTGATACATGCGGTATGGTTGATTGTCTTCTCCTTAGCATAGATCTTGAAACTGTAAATACATTTTTTGAAGTAAAACAGCCACTTGATAACTGCTTAATGAAGTATCACACTAGCTGTTTTGAATGCAAAAAAAATGTTTAGAAGTACCCTGTGGTGTTGCTTTTAGTGAAAATGGGCTTTTATTTTTAAACTTTTGCTATATTTGGAAACAAGTAGTCCCAGGGGAAATGATACCAATACTAATGGGGAACATC